AAAAGAGCTCAACCCATGGGATACAAGACACTGCCAATTTCCTGGAGGGAGACTGTTGCCAACGCCTTGTAAAATACAGTCAAAGAAGGGCACTCTGTGTGGTACAGCACGGCAGGCGGAGAGGAGAGCGCAGAGCGAGCTGCGGGCAGCGTGTGATGCACTGCTGCCCGCTTACAGAGGGTGCAGGGGAGCAGGACTGCAGCCTGACGTTAAGGAGCTTTCTTAACGCTCCTTTCTCTTTCTTGTTTTTGCAAAGTGCTATTTTTAAGTCATGTGAAGTAGAGTGTGTTTATATTAGGTACAATCCACCTTTTGACTAAAGACTTTGCAATTTTGCAACAACAAAGACAGGAATTTACGGAGTGAGGTTGTATGGCAACAAAACCTGTTTATTTCTATTGTTCTTTGGAACAGACAAGTTATCTCACGTCACACATTTTCAGCAGTAAGCATTTATGTTGGTGAGCAGAGCCCCTTTCTTTGTTCATATGTAGAAAGGGGAAGTGGCAGGAATGAAAAGCTAATTTTGCTCTTCACTGAAGCAGGGAGGATCAGGGACAGTGCAGTGCTAAGCTGCTTCCCCAGTTCCTGTTTGGCAGGCCTGCGAGGGGGAGAATGGTGTAAAACAGCTCTCGGCAGAGTTTTTCCTGAGCAAATGAATTCAGTGTTTTAACCAGTTGTTTCCGGATTGATAAGGTGGCAGAATAATAGGGAAAAAATTCAAGGGTTGCCCAGTCTGACGCTGTTGGAGTGTTCTCTCTGTTTTGACTGGGATCTTTTATATTGCCTGCAGGTGTTGTGTCAGCTGTGAGGAAAGGTAAAGGTTGGAGGTGGGAGTGAAAATATTAACTTTTACAAGACAAGCAACTTTTGAGATGTTGAAATGATGGAAAAAAAATGGACGTGAAATAAGTTTCTAGGTTTCATTTCTAGTGAAACTACTAGCAAAACTGATCCAGATTTGTGAATAGTCTTGACATCCCTAATACAAGCTTTTCAATGAATTAAATGAGCTACCAGAAGTATTTCTAGGTCCATTCCTGTGCACCCTCTTGCAGTGTGCAGCACACTTACTAGGACTTTCAGAAACATGTCATGCATAGGATCAAGTTCTTTTTTTAGTGTAAAAAAGGAAAATGCTTAGTTAAGCAGGTATTTTAGTCCATAATCTTCATTTACTAATTTAAAGAAAACAAAATACTGGATTTGTATACAGCAGTTGATAGTATTTCACAGCCTGTGAACAGAATGGAAACTGTATTACTGTACTTGGAATAGGTGTCATGTTCTTTTATATATGAAAAGGCACATCAGCGATGTCTCTTGGATGATGGCATGTCACTACTGGCTGTAGTGTCTCTTTCCATTTACTAAAAGTTGCATATTTTATGTCAGAAGAGACCAAAACTTATGATCATTAAAGTTGATATCAGCTTGGCTATTGCTTTTAATGGAAGCATGATTAAACTGACAGTTTTTCAATTTGTATTACTTTTCTTTGGAACATGCCCTCTTTAATGACAATAATTGTAATTTAATAGTATGTCCAGCTGGCAGTTTCTTGATACATTGCCTGGTTTATTTGTGGTAATGACATTTTTGGTATCTTGTCTAGAGATGCAGCAGGATATTTTAGATGGAGTCTTTGTCTGCTGTCATAAGCGGGTCTGATTCAGTTATTTCAAGGTTGTAGTGCCTGCCTGTGAACTGAAGGAAGGAGTTTGTGTTTAGAATCTACGAGCTTTTTTTATCTGTGTGTGTACTGCAATAATGAAGTACTTAAAAACCTTTTGGAGAGCCTGTACCTAAGCTCCCCAGTTATGAATTACAGGAATTATTTTGAGATGATCTACTCAGGTATTGCTTATGTTTTCTTTTCTAGAGCTCAGGTATTTGGTTTTGCTGGAAGTCAGGTAATTCTTTGGAAAAGGCAATTTTATGCAACATTTCTTTTAAAATAGTTAAATCCTCATTATCTGGCAGTAGTATTTTTAGCAGAAAACTTCTGACTGGTTTGGCTGGCTGCTTCAGGTGTGCATGTGCCAGTTCCTCCCGGGGTTTTCTAGAATTTAGCATTCAGCAAAGTGAAAAACATGAAAAAAACTCCTTTGCTCTGCAGCGATGGGATCATGGATCCCATGGATCCCAGACCTTTCAGATGGCTTTGTGCAGATCTTCTTCTTATACTGATTGCTCCAAAAGAGAGGGAGGTTTGGTTTTGTTTTGTTTTGTTTTGTTTTTTTTTCTTTTAAGTTATATTTCAGTAAAAGCTCCAAAAGAGAGGGAGGTTTGGTTTTGTTTTGGTTTGTTTTGGGTTTTTTTTTTTCTTTTAAGTTATATTTCAGTAAATACTAGGAAGTTAACAGAGAAAACTCAAAGCCAGTAGGGAGTACAGGAGATAAATCAGTAACTGTACTCAGCCCTCTGTGTTTTAACAAGAAGATCTTTGCCTTCACACTTAGATTCAGTTAACTTGGTGACTTAGAGGCAGCATATTTCTGTGGGAAACTTTTCACAGAATCACAAAATGGCAGGGGTTGGAAAGGACCTCGGGAGATCATCTAGTCCAACCACCCTGCTAAAGCAGGTTCACCTAGAGCAGGTTGCCCAGGATATTGTCTGGGCAGGTTTTGAATATGTCCAGAGCGAGAGACCCCACAACCCCCCTGGGCAGCCTGTTCCAGTGCTCTGTCACCCTCAAAGTAAGGAGGTTCTTCCTCATATTCAACTGAAACCTCTGATGCTTCAGTTTGTGCCCATTGCCCCTTGTCCTGTCGCTGGGCACCACTGAGAATAGTCTGGCTCCATCCTCATGACATCCACCCTTAAGATATTTATATGTGTTGATGAGATCCCCTCTCAGTCTTTTCTTCTTCAGGCTCTTCCACCATTTCTGAGACCTGCCTGTCTGCTCCCTGTTCTTCACCACCGTGTTGTAACACCCGTGCATTACCTGCAGGTTCCTGGGGCTGTGCCATGGTTATGCCCTACAGTCTTTCAGATCTTCTCCATTTCGAACAGTCTTGGTAGCTCTTCAGGAAATGGAGCAGTCTCCTCCTTCCAAGAGCACCAGCATAAACATTTTTTTTCAGAGAGGGTAAAAAAACTGAGAACATACAACTGTTTATCACATTTGTTAATAGAGAGAAATGCTTATTCTTTTTTCAAAGTTGTGAAAGTTTTTTCAAGGTGAGTGAAAACAGGAGCTGCATTCTCAGTATCGCACTGCTGTCAAAACTTAGCAGTACTTTGTGCCTGTCACCTATCTCTCTGTTATTTCCATTTCAAGGCTGGAATGAGGGTAAGAATGATCATGGCTGGAAAAGCTCTTTCAGGTCTTTGAATGCAAGTCATTCTTTAAGAGCTTCTGCTTCTCCAGATAGTTCCTAGGACTGGTTCCGCCAGGAGATTTTCTTCTTTGTAGGAAAGAAATTTTGTCTGAAATTTTGAATGGTCTTGCTCTGGATGCTCTACTGAATCCTGGGAGGCAAATCCATACCCCATCCACTCTGTTGCTGTGGATCAGAAATACCAAATTTAAGTGCCATCAGAGTGCCATTGGCAGTTAGGACACAGGCTGGGGCTTCTGACTGAGTAATCTTTTTCTTGCAGAACTTATTTCTGCAAAATTTGTTTTTTTGACTTTTGGACTTTTGTCATTGCTGTGTTGTAAAAGTTTTCTTATTGCTGCCTGGTTCACCTGGGGGCAACATTGGCATTGTAGGTTGAAATTTTTGTGTGGACAGGAGACAGAACCAGAATGAAGAGTAGTTTTTTCCTTGTCAGCCATATGGAGTTAAAGCCATTTTTAGTGCAATTTCATTCCTGTGAGATTGAGAGGGGGAAATGGACAGAGTTTAGGGAGATTATATTTGGGAGAGAAGAACAGGACTGGTTTCCAAAGATGGAGCAATGAGAAAGATGGGAGAAGGCAGAGGCAAGAAGCGGTGAAGAATTTGCTCATCTCAAAGTTTGTTTTAAAATCAGAATCAGTGCTCTGCCAGTGTTTATTCATCATCAGGAAACTGTGATATAATATTATGGGGCTGTATGTTATCCTTGTGACATGTTAGCATTCTGTATCATTCTCTTTCTGCTGAAATAATTGCAGTAAAGGATATGGTACGTGGTGTCCTTCTGCAGCTGTTCCAAGGTCAAGTACAGGATATATGTGAAAAATAGTTTCTAAACTTTGTCTTCCTCAGCTTACTTCTGAGACTAGTTACAAGAGGCAATTAGAGTTAACTTCCCAAGCAAAAGGGAAGCATTAAAAAAAAAAAAACAAACCAAGAATCACAACCTGAATTTGAGCATGAATTTCTTGAACGTTGTTTTTGAAATCTACCTGCTAATGTTACTGGCATATTTTCTTCTATTCCTCATAAACATTCTTGGGATGTTGAAAGCTAAGGGTGCCAAAGTTTGGAGAGGTTTACTTTTGAGTGTTACTTAATTCAAACGACAAGAACGGTCCATTTATTTTGTGACCTATTTATAGCCATTAAACAAACCGTGGCAAATGGATCTGCTTTACTTAATTCACTACATTTGGTGGAAGATTAAGAGCATGGAAAATACATTCATAAAAATAGGTATGTTTGTGTCTGATACCATGCAAATATCTGTACACTGCAGAACTGTCATTTTTTAAATAAAAGTAGAAGTTTGTTCTGCAAGACAAAGAATTGAAAATAAAATTACTATTAGGTAAGTACTTTGGCAGACCAAATATCGGGGAAATTTGGTTATTTCTCATTGTGAGCTCTATATGATCATATCTGTGAATCTCCAAAAATAGTATAAACATGAAAAAAATGTGGTTTATGTTCTGGTTCATTTTAATGGTAAGAACAACATATTTTGAGGGTTTTTTTGATTGCATTTTGTTTTCAAGGTGTTCTCAACATGTTAAAAGAGTTGATGTATTTTTCCATAACACAGTATTTTTATATTCCCTGTGTTACAAAGCTGCTAACTGAAATTCTCTTTTTGCTTCTCAGGTTGTTTTTGAAGTGGTCACTTCAGGTCACCCAGGATATGTGGCTATTGATGAAGTGAAAGTTTTAGGACATCCATGTAGTAAGTACTTATCCACTATTTTAAAGCCAGCTGTCTAAAATAAACGTGGAGCAAAAGACAGGGAAAGTGTCAGAAAACAATGTCACTGCTATAAATATAGGCTGAGTACGTACAAAGCATTGTTAGCATTTGAGCACTTGCACCGTACTGGCTTTAAAGACATCTCTTATATGCACCTTGTGTACAGCACTTGGCATAAGCCCCAGAGCCTAACTGGGCCATCTAATGACTCCTTCAGAACAAAAGTCATCAAGATTTGTTGGCCAATTTTATATTGCCATCAAAAAGTCAGTGCAGCCACCAGCTGAGGCATTACTGAGAGCAGATGAACAACACAAGAGCAGAATATATATGATTATTTTTTCGAAGGCTTAGAAGGAGGAAAACGCAACTGGCTGAGGCTTTGCTAAGCAAGGTTACTGAGGGTACTTCCCCAGGTGTTGTACTTTGGGCTTATGGCTCATTTTCTGCACAATTTTACTTGCTTATGTTTCAGTTGTTTCCTTATCCCACTATTCAGGATATGTAATAAACTACCCTAAGTCCTTTTAAAATTGCTGTTAAAACAAAACCTTGTAACTTAAAGCTTTAACATAGCAATCTAGATGTAATTGAACAGGCTACTTAAATAAACGATTATTTCACATATTTGCTATTTGTTAAATAAGGTGTATTAAGATCATACGTGGAATTGTAGGTTGTGATCTTACTGACCAAAGGACTGGGTGGGGAAAAAAGACACCAACTTCTGTGTAATTGTTACCTTCCTCTTACGCCATATTGTACTTGTATGCATTCTTTGTAGTTTTGTAAGGAAGAACTGCAATGTAAAATAAAAAATGTTTTTTCAGTTAGTACCAGAGCACCTGATGGAAATGGTTTTAGTGTTAGTGGCGAGAAGACACAGACATTTCTTCAGATACAGAGACAGTTATGCAGAATCAGCAGCTGTTATTTCTGAATCACTTAGTTCTAATAAACACAGCAGGCTCTCGTGTTGTTAGGCGGTATTTGTGCTTCTGCATTTTGAATTTATATCTTTGGTTCAGGTAGGATAAGTCTAAAGCAGTATTTTATCAGCTTAATAATTTTTCTTATACAGATTTGGAGAGGTTTGATCTGTGCATTTGTACCAATCAATTTTCAAAACGTGCAAGTAGCTCTTATTAAAGTTATACCCCACAGCGCGTAGAGTTCTAACGTGACAGGGTTGAAACGCAAAAGCTGTAATGAAAAGTTCTTTGATGAAGTAATTAAAATGTTAGAAATTAAGACATCAAACCAGTTACATTGTCTACAAGAAAATTGAAAAAAATGTGAAAATTGGAATAGAACTACCATGTGTCTAAAACTTGGAAGACTCATAATGCTATTCTTTCTGTATATTGCTAGAAAAAATACTTTTCGAATTATTAACTCTCTAAACAAAAACTGAAATGAGAAAAATATTTGCTAGGCAGTTGTCTGGGTAGTATGGACAAAGATCAAGCAGAAAGCAAGTTGTGAGCATGTAGAACAGAAAGGAACGGCTTGTGGTGGGTGGTTGGGGTTTTTCTTGTGTGTGTATTTGTGTTAAAAACCTAACACCCCTCTCCACTTAGGCCATACCTGGTAAATCAGAAAGAGTAGTTTTCAAGAGTTTAGGAGGACTGAGGGGAAAAACCAAGTGGGGTAAAAGCAGATGTAAAAAAAAAAAAAAGTGACCAAATAATGGGGATCTTTTTGAAGAATTTTACTGGATAGTCAGACATTAATAGTGTGAGAGGCAAGGAAGAGAATTACTTTGGCCTAAAGACTGTCTTTCTGTCCTAATTGGGAAGTGCTTAAGAAAAAAAAAAAGCAGTATATCTAATATATTTGCCATAAGGACAGTTATCATGAAAAGATTTCCTTCCATAGTTAGATACTAATTTGGGCTATTTTATTCAGTCTCCTCCTTCTCAAACTGCCTTTCACTGGATATTAATCAACTTTTTCTTCTGGTAGCTGTTTATTTCTTAATTCTTAAATTTCTTAAAAATGCAATTTCTCCCAGTGCTAAGGTCTTTTAAGAAAATGTCATCAGCTCTTTAAATGGTTGTGATGCTCTGCTAGGAAGTGTATCTTTAGTTTGCCAGTTTATTACTAGTACTAACATTTCCATGTCTGAAAGCAATGTTCAGAGCCTGGCTTATCTGCTAGCATAGACAATGCAAAAAGTGCCCTTGTCTGCAGTACTGGTTGGGGAATACTGCCTTTTCAAGGATAAATTTCTGTATCAAATTTCTATGGTTTTCTGTGTCATGTGGTTGACTCTTTCCAGTAAACCAAAAATATACATGCTATCTTTCCTCCTTCAGTGGACATAGTTCTTTTTTGAATATCTATTTCATTCAGTAGGTTATTTGTAGCTGTATTGCTTTAATTTTTACTCGCATTGTTTTCTTTTTCTAAATGAAAAAGAAGTATTGGTATGGAGAATGCATTGTATTTTGTTTTTTTCTGCAGTGTTGTTGGAAAGAATTGTATTTCAAGAATACAGCTGTAGTTGGTGAGAAGTGTTATGTTAGTATTTTAGCTGTTTGGTGTGCTACATTTCTAAAGCATCTCCTCTATAGACACTGTACCTGGTTAAAAAGAAAAACCTGTTTCCCTGACAACATCACTCAACTTCTTACTGTTTTGTCTAGTTGGTAATGTAAGTATCTAATAGGTTTTTGTTCAAAACATAATTAGTTTCCAATATGATCTTTATTAATAGAATGTTATTGCAAGAGGGGTGCAGAGCTAAGATAATTTACACAGCAGGAACAATGAAACAGCACCCTTCTCTTCTGCTCTTTCTCGGGTGTGGAAGTAAACCAACCTAAAATCTAATGTGTGGTCAGTGATTTGAACCTTTTAAAGCAGGGCTCTTTAATTTGCTCAGTGTATTATTCATAGCCAGTACTTCCACGCTGCATAACTTCAATACTTTGTCTTCTTCCAACAGCAAAAACTCCCCATTTCTTGCGTCTTCAGAGTGTGGAAGTCAATGCAGGACAATTTGCTACTTTTCAATGTGCTGCCAATGGTGGAACAGACCCAGGTGACAGACTCTGGTTACAGGTAATTTCTTTCTTTCCTGTTGCACTGAGATCTGGGGGGAGGGGATTTCATCACTCTGAAAGGAATGTAAACATGAAAAATGATAGGGCTGTCTGTTTCAGCAATATTAGATTTTATAGCGCCTTTGAACTGCTGCATAGTAGGTGTTCTGTTGTAGAAAATGATACCGGAAGATTTTGCTCCCTTGTTTCAATGGGATGCCTTATTAAAAAATAAAGGTTCTGTTTTTGTTACATGTAGCTATCATGAGTAAGGGCTAAATCCCCAAGGAAGAGCACATGACTTTCTCACAGTGTCTATGATGGCTAACTCCAATGTTAAACACAATGACTTTCTTGGCTTACTTCTATCTGTTTAGTATTTTCAGCAAAAATTGCATTTTTACTTTTTAAGTCTGGAGAAGACCAGAAGACCATCCAAATCTGACCTTTTGTATTATAGAGCCAAAGAATCTTACCTATATTTATTGAGTCCACAATTTTTTACTTATTGAGTAATGTAGCTTCTAGAAAGGTGTCAGATCTCGATTTAAAGACTGTCTCCAACTCCTTTTCTTTCAGTAAAGACAGTGTCCTTTTATCTATGTGTAACCTTGTATCAGAATCATGCATCTTACTTGATCTCTTTTAGTAATGGAAGCACAAGTTTAACTGCTGTCTTGCTGCCATCATTTTAGAGTTGTCTGTTCTCTACAGCAAACAATAGTCTGTATTTGGACTTAGCGTTAGGGTTCTACCAACCTCCAGATTCCTGTGCTTTCCATATGTGAAAAACAACATGCTAGAACTGTGACACTGTCTGTGAGAAGGAAATAAGGATGCCTAAACCAATGCCTAAAGGGATCACTCAGATGGAACTGCAGTATGTGGAGAAGGGGGGGGGATAGGAGAAATTGAAGAAATAGTAACAGGTGGGACTTAGAGACGAAATTCTCTGGTTTTGTTGTTTAAACAGTTTTGGGCTTTTACTATTGTTTTCCTTTGGCATTGCACTTGGTACAAAATTCCATCAAGCATTTTGAAAATGATTCATTTAAGTGTGACAGGTTAAACAGCTGAGTAGTTAGAAGAAAACAAGCACACAAACAAATAAGTAAAACCACTTGAAAAGCAAAGACCCATATTTATCTGTATATGATTATCTGTATATGAATGATGAACTATTATGTCTATCCAGAAAGAGCCTGATCAAATACAGTAGAAGGCAATGGAAATCTCCTTTGTTTTAGTTTGGGTTTGCATGGGTATTTTCAACCTCTGTGCTGATATAAGGCTGATTCTTCTCTAACACTCCAGCCCTTTAAAGCCAGTATTACAGTGTTGAATTGGTAGAATTAGACTCCTGTCTTTCCTAAGCCATTGAGATTTTTTGAAAGAATGATTCTTCTAGTCATGAAAAGAGTTAGCATGTATGGGAAAATAATGGGTTGTTATTTCATCAATGATTCCTTTCTAGAACCTTTGAACTTTTGCATAATGCTCTTTTGTAAAATTGAAGGTAGAATTCAATATAGGGAAATCTAGATTCCTTTCAGTTTTTCCATAGATTTCAGGACAGTATAATTTCACATTTAACTTTTTTTTTTCATGGAATTGAGGACGCACATAAATTCTTTGCAAGACTGGAATGTAATTTCTTTATTTTAGAAATTAAACATCCCTCTAGTTTTTATGTAATATGAAATCATTCTTCTTAACAGTGGTAGCAATTCTGGAATATCTTTGCTGAGCTTAGTTGAGTGATTCCTTATTTATACATGATTATGAGATATTTTTTTTGTCTATATGAAGGGTAAGAAAGTAGTGACAGATTGACTTGTTGAGCAATTTCATCTTCCTGCAGGGCCATTGTTTATCCTGCCCATATAACTACAGGTCCTTGTAGTAATCAGTCCAAGGTTGTGCAAATTCCAGGTGTGCCTTTGTGTAAGAACATTTTAAAAGTTGACAGGATCTCCTGGATAGCTTGAATTTATTTTTGTACTTGTTTGCCAGTTTCCACAGATGTCTGCTGCAACTTACAGTAAGGCTAATCAGACAGCTCCACATGTGGAATGCTGCAAATCAAGGCTATGAGATACAGTTTCCAACAGGATTAGCTGTATTTTAGTGTACTATCGGGTCACTGTTCAGGTCATTATCAGGTAACAGATCCTCAGACCTTGAAATTCTCCATCAATCAACTGAGACCATCTGGCTACATGGTGTGATATCAAGGAATTTTGTATACGCCTGCTTATAACATCTCATGACACTGCCCACAAGACCATGAGTACAATACAGCTATCTGTAATCGCCGTCAGAAAACATGGTGTCTTCTACATCATATGACTGGTTAAATGGACATGAAAGATACTTTTGTTCCCCATAACAGTAGAACCGATATTCTACTACAAAACATCTTAATGAAAGACATTCTTCTGTACAGTAGAGCCGGAATAAATAGAGCACCATTCTCGTTTATGCTAGCACTCAGGTAATAGGGATTCGGGTTTTAGTGGTGCTACAAACAGGTGATGCAATCTCTCTGACATGCCTAGTTTGTCCACCAGTAATACTAAGCCTTTTCTACCATCTTTTTGATGGTTTGTTTCCTTAAATTTATAAAACCTTATGGTTTTTAAATTTATAAAACCTTAAGGTTTTATAAGCCTTAGTGAATAAATAAATAAATAAATGCAGTTGTATGATTTTTATCGGGCTTTTCAGCATTTCTGCCACATAAGTCATATCAGGATGCCTAATCTGTTTGGATTTGGCAGTTCCAAAATACCGTGAGATAATTTGTTCCTAAATGATTTCCAGCACCTGTCATTTTTTTGTGTTAGTGTGAAGTACAGGTAAATTGCCAGGGTGAAACCACAAACCAACTGAATTCAGTGATGTTTCAGACTGTTTACAGTGGTGGCAGGATTTTACTCCTGTACTTCTATCTTTTTTTATATAGTACCTCTCAGCTTGTATGCAGCAGAAGACTAAGACTTCAAATTTAGTGGTACACATTTTTCTGGTGAACAAATACTTTACTTTTTACAGTCTGTCGGACTGTGAGGGATGTATATTCCTTAAAACAAATGAATAATTGTGACTTGATTATTTTAGTCTCCTTGTCTTTGCTGAGTAGTTGTTGCAAACAGCATAGATGTTCTTAGTTTAATAATGCCCAGGCCTTGAAGCAGTCCTAAGTGAAATCTATAGATCATCTTTTATTTCCTTTTTTTTTTTTTTTTTGTAATTTCTTTTCAAGCCTATCCTACTCTTATTCCATGTGGAACATGAAATCTATTCATTTATGGAGTATTATGGAAGTTTTTGCAAATTGAAAGGGTGATGGGGGAACCACAATTCACAGGTTAGCTGCCCAGCTTAGACCACTGAGCCATGACATCTGTTTCATGATGCTGTGATCAGTATTTACTCTTTTGGGAAAGGGAAGACAGAAGGCTGTTTACCTATTCTAGAGTGCAGTGCTTTGCAAGAAAAACATTTTTCCTGATACTGCTAGGCATCCATGCACCCTACTGCATGAGCTATGATTGCAGGCTTGTCAGATAATTTGACAACAAATTGTGGGTATTTTCAGTGATATCGTTTCAAGTTAAAGTCAAGCAAAAGGACTCAAGAACACAATGCAGCATCATACAAGTTTGTATTTTGTTGTTGTAACTAGTAACAATTAATAAGGTCATTGGATAGATTGTATGTTTATGAATTCATGTCCTCATTAGCTTATGTTTTAAACATAAACATACCTTAAAAATAAAACTGATGATACTAATCAAGAAATGTTTATGATTAACAGATGTGTCCCATCCGCTTACATTTTCTTTATCACACATGTGGACAACACAGGTTATTGTCAGTATGGGATGACTCTTTCCATTCCATTGAATGACTGAGCAGAAGTGCTATTCCTGTGCTCCTTCCTGTGCTCCCACTGTAAGGGCTGTAGTGATTGCTGTAACATTTTTTTAATTAAAGAAATTCCTCTTTGAAACTACAAGCTCCAGAAGGAGTTCTGGAAAGCAAATTATTTTCCTTAGAAATACATACGCACCTATGCACAAATGAGAGGTATCAAAAGCATCCTTGTGAGAATGTGGAATCAGTGCAATGTCTCCTGGCAAATTATGAAAATGAAATACTTTTACAGGATATACAAACTAGTTTGTGTGTGTATGCCTGTGCTTGTTTATGTAAATCATATAAAGTATCCCAGAATGTGAACTGAAGTCCTAGACTTTCACAGGAATTTTTTGTTATGCTGTAAACTCTCTGAGGCTTTCACATAATTACCATTTTCATTGCTAAATCTGGAAGCACTTCAGTAAAAAATGTTTCAGCCATTTTTTGAGTACTGAGGTAATGAAGCAGTATTTTACCTGTTAAAATTAAATCGTATGCATATGTAACAACTTAGTAACACAAACAGGTGGAACTATTAATGTAAACTGTACAATGAGATAGGCCTAAAGAAGATGTTCTTTTGAATATTAAAAAAAGTAGCTTGGGTTGATCAGTAGGTGCTTTTGTGTACTACGAGAGTGCAGGGTTCATTCTTCCTCCTGCTCACAAATAGATTCCAAGACTGCTCAAACTACCTTGTGCACAGCAAATTGTCTTGAGTCCATTGACCTGAGAAGAGCTTTAATGACATCAATCAACTAAAGATTTTGCCAAGACTACATGCATCTTGATGCATGTGTGTCCTAATGTGCAGGTTTTTTGTAGATAACCTGAGATGATTTTACTGTTAGAAGGATAATTAGTGCCCTGTAGGAAGGGGCACTATCTATTACTGAATAGATGATTTTTTTTTTTTTTTTAAATTCTGGTAACCATTTCATATCATTTCCAGGATTTGGTATGTTAATTTCTTTGTGTCCTCCTCTCCACTGCAGTATCTAGTTAGTTCTTCTTGCAGGCAATACTGTATATTTTCCATTAATTGTCATTAATCAGTTTTAGTTGCTTTTCATTAACTGCATAGTAATCTTACTC